CCCCCCCCCCCCCACCTCTTTGCCACTACCCCCTTCTCTCCCACTCACCGCCTCTCTTCCCGTCCCTACCGTCTCCCTACCTCTTGCCTTCTCTCTCGCGCTCAATGTGTAACCCAGGGCTCATTGGATAGAGATCAGGAGCAGGAACCCTGGCTAATTCCCTCTCCCCACTTCCTTTCTTCCCCCTCCCCTTCTCCTCCTTTTTCTTGCTTCTCCCTCACTCTAACCCAGGGGTCATGTGTTGTTCTGGACCTGTCCTCCCTCCTGTCTATTAGGGCCTCGTACTCATTCCTTCAATTGATAATGCCCGGCATGCAAGAAAACTTGGCTTATGATTGATAATGGATTTCTTCTTTCCCCTAACCCCTCTTCCTTCTCCTTGCCCCACCCCTCGCACCCCCAATCTCTTTCCATCTCACTCTCCATCTTCCACCATGTCTTTTCTGCCTATTTCTCCATTATCCTACCTCTGTTGTTTGCTCTGTCCTTCTCTCTCCCTTGTGCCCTCCATCCGCCATCCCTCACTCTCTCGCTCTTTGTCCGTCTCTCTCTCTCTCCACCACCACCACCACCTTTCTCTTCCCTAATCACACTCTTCCTCTCCTTCCCATTGCTGGCTGTTTAACTCTCACTCCTCCTCTTCTCTCTCTCTGAAACATTCTCTTTCTCTCCTCCCTTACCCCTTTGCTCTTACTCTTCTCTTGGCTCACAATCCCTCCCCTCCCCTCCCCTCCGCTCGCTGTCTTCCCCCTTTTCTCTCTCAGGGAAGTCTCTCTGGTCTCTGGTACTCGATCAGTTTGAGGATTTACTGGTGCGGATATTACTGCTCGCTGCCTGCATCTCTTTTGTAAGTACACCAGCGAATCTAGTTCAGCTCCCTGGAGTTCTAGATGCATTTCAGACACACAATGGAGACTGTTCACTCCAAGTCTCTGACTCTGCTTGTCAGTGAAGGCCAGCAGGAGGCCATTCAGCCCCCTGAGTCCATGTTTGCTCTCCAGAGCAATCCAGTCAGCCCCTTTCACCTCCCTCAATTTCCATTGTCCTGCAAGGTTATTCCCCTCATCTGTCTCCTTTTGAAATCAGATGCCATCTCCCCTTCATCAGCATTCTCCCTCCTGGGAGGGACTGATGCTAGTCATTACCACTCACTGCAGAAAGATCAGAGGCTGTCGCTAGACATTACTACTCTGCAGAAAGAACATTCTTCCTCATGTTAATCCACCACCACCAATTAACAGCCTGTTGCTCACGCCAAACCTTCAATCTCTCCCCGTTCGTCCTTTTACCATCAGCACATGGCAAAGGTTTTCCCCTTGTTTCCCCTCTTCTGCAAACTGATCCTCATTCTGCACAGATCTCCCTTCCATCCTCAGTTTCTGACTAAATAAAATCCTTGAGTGCTGGTGGAGTCCCGGGAAACGTCGCCACTGCACCCACACACGTTGCCTCATTCTGGTGAAGACAGACACACACGCACAGAGAGAGAGGGGCACGTGCACAGAGAGAGACGTACCCCTCATTCAGGTACACTCACTGCCCCATTCCAGTAAACATCGCCGTTCCTCCCACCCCTCCTACCTCCGCACAGCCTTTATTTACTTTCACTTGCAAAGAGTAGAGGGAGCTTTGTGTTCAGCCTGAAAGGGTAGAGGGAGCTTTTTGTTGCAACACTCTGTGCCTGCCCAGGGTGAGCTGAAAACTGCCAATTGCTGCCTTAAATAGAAATTTGTTTTGGGTTACTGTGAGGAAACATGGCTTTGGTTTCAAATGAACACGCTGGTTCAACGATTGACCTGCTGTCAGGAACGTTTTGAGTGGGCCACCCGGAACGGTGACAGTGAAAGGCCTGGGGTTTCTGTTGGAACGGGCCCCATGTTTTGGTGACCGGTGTTAATGCCATAGAAAATGCTGGGCAGTTCCTGGTGTGAAGGCTGTGCCGCCCATGATTGTGCCCTGAGTAGGTTCGCAGACATGTCCCACTTGGCAATCACTGGCATCCTAACTGCCAGCCTGGGACAACGGTGCAGGCTCCTACAGCCTCTTCCAGTCGAGGTAGGAAGCTAGGTGGCACTCCCCCTCACAGAGTTAAAAAGTTTGCTTGCTTTTAACCATTGGCTGTGGAATGTTCTTCAGTAAACACCAGATTCAGGGTGGGGAAATGGTGGGAGATGGAAATCAGTGAAATTTATACCAGGCACTGAGTCATCTGCACTGATGGGGGAGGGGAGGACAGGCCAATAAAACCTCTTTTAAAACATTCTTCATGCTTTACCAGTTTGCAAATCCCATCAGGGAATTCTGAATCTCCACAGACCAGACATGCCCTGTCCAGCATGCTCATTGTTCGCTTATTGACATCTTACAGCAGCTCGGTCTGCAAAACAACCAGGGCTAGGAAACCCCCTTTTCCGGTTCGCGCCCAGCAGATCTGGCCCCCTTTTCCGGTTCGCGCCCAGCGGATCTGGCCCTATTTCCAGTGGCTGTTAAATGCCATTTGAATGTATTAAATGTATTTGAAGCAATTAACGAATGACATAAATTCTCAGAAATGGGTACAGTGTTACAGCCATTAGGACACAAGGAGATCGAAGCTGGGATCTAAGTGATTTTTCGAAAGGAAGCGAGATGGGAAGGAAAATGTGGTGGGACATTCAATGGACTAAGTAATGATAGTAAGAAATAAACTTTGATCAGAGGGTTAATATAATATGGATGGAGAAAGAGGTTCTGAGGGAAAAGTGACACAGGTACGAGTAGTCTGTAAGCCTCCTAACTAACTATATGGTAGTGCTGAGAATAAATTGAGATATAATGAGAATGTGTTTTTAAAAACAAAGTCAATGTGTTAATCATGGATGACTGTAATCTTTTAGAACGGAATAGAGTAGCAGAGGAAGATTTCATAACGTGTGCTTGGCACACTTTCCTAAAGCAATATGTTCCAGCAAGGGATCATGCTATTTTGGATCTGGTGATGTGTAATGAGGCAGGTATAATAAATAATAAAAGATCCCCTTGTGACCATAATGTGGGAGATTTCAGTTTGAAAGGGAGGAACTTGGGTCAGAAACAATTGTGCTAATGAGAAACGAGTAATTACAAAGGAATGAGGGCAGGCTGGCTAAAGTGAACTGAAAAAGAAGTTTAACAGCAAAGACACCTGAGGGAAAACAACAGTCATTTAAAAAAACTAGTTCATGGCTCACGAAGAAATATCCCACTGAGAAAGAAAGGTTCTAGAAAGAGGATACGCCACACATGGTTAACCAGGGAATTTAAGGCTGGCAGTAAACTAAAAGAAGAAACCTACAATGTGCCAAAGATTAACGGATAGCCAAGAGGATTTGGAAAGTTCTAAAAACCAACAAAAGATGACTCATAATATAAAAAAGAGGGAGAAGATAAAGTTAAAGGGTAAACGTTCAAGTAAGATCAAGATAACTAGTAAGAGCTTCTTTAAATATAGAAAAAAAAGAGGGAAGCCAAAGTGAGCAGAGGCCCCTTTGCAAATGAGGTTGAGGAAATAATGGGGGGTAGGAGAAAGTGTTTGAATACATAGTTTGCTGGCACTGAAACTGCAGAGCAACTCCGACTGCATGCTCACTCGGAACTGTACACACGCTTCCAAACTCTCCACATCATTATATCATGCACAGAACAGGTGCAACATTGAAGCAGGTTTCAATGGCAGGAAAGACTTCCAAATTCAGTTTGGGGGCGATGCATCAGAGAGGGGTTGAGAGAAGATTGGAAGGAGGATCGGACTGATGGGGGTCAAGGGGATTGAAGGGATTTCTCCCATTCTACCCCTCACACCCTGAAGCGTTCTCCACCTGCCCCCACTGTATATCCACTTCTCTCCCAAGGATTCCAAGGATGTCCCCTCCCGGGTCCTGGCTCCATTATCTCTCCTCCCTCTTCTCCTGACCTCCTTTCCACCCATTTTCCCCTGCCCTGGGTCCCAATCTTCATCAAGACTGTGCATACACGGAAAATGGTAACCAGGCCAGTTAGCTTAATGTCCATTATTGGGAAAGTGTTAGAGCTTACTATAACGGACATAGTGGCAGATCATTTAAGAATACATTACACAATCAAGCAGAGTCAGCATGACATCATGAAAGGGAAATCATACCTAACAGATTTGCTAGAATTAGTTCCGGAAGTAGCAAGTAGGGTAGATAAAGTGAAAGCTTTATGGATGGAATCTATTCGGATTTTCAGGAGGTATTTGCTAAGGTACTACATAAGAGAAGAGTCCACAGTGTTGCAGATAGTATATCAGCACGGACAGAGGATTGGCTAACTAACAGAAGACAGATGGGACAAAAGTGGCGTTTTCAGGTTGGCACGCTGTAACTAGGGGAGTGCCTCAGCAATAATTAGTTCTGGGGCCACAGTTATTTATAAATATATATTGATGTCTTGGATGAGGAAAGTTTACAGATGACACAAAAAGAAATAGGTGGAAAGACAAGTGGTGAGTCTACAGGTTAAGTGAGTGGGCAGATGTAATATAATGTAAGGACATGTGAGGTTATGCACTTCAACTGAGAAAAGTAGAAAATATTACTTAAATAAAGAAAGTCTGCGGGAAGCTGCAGCACAGAGTCCTTGTTCACAAAAAGCTAGCATCCAAGTTCAGAGGGTGATAGGGAAGGCACCAGGAATGTGTGCCCTTTATTTCAAAAGGGAATGGAGTGTAAAAGTAAGAGGTTTTGCTAAAGCTGTACAAGGCACTGGTCAGACCACAGCTGGAATACTGTGAACAGTTTGGGGCCCCTATATAAAGAAAGATGGACTGATATTGGAGGCAATCCCAGAAGATTTGCTTGGCTGTTACCAGATTTGGAGGAGTTTTCTTATGTGGAGAGGTTGAGTAGATTGGGCCTTGACAGGGGAGATGCAGAAGGATTGTTTCTGCTTGTATGAGAGTCTAGGACCAGAAGGAACAATCTCAGAGATTTTAAGAGAAAGGAGGAGGAATTTCTTCTGAGGGTTGTGAATCTGTGGCATTCTTTACTGCAGATGGCTGTTAAGTTTGGGTCACTCAGCATATTTTAAAGCTGACAGAGATTTTATTCAGCCAGGGAATCAGGATTATGGGGGAAAAGGCAGGAAAATGTAGTCAGGGATTATCCGATCAGTCATAATAAAACAGACTGGAAGAGCAGGCTCAATGGGCTGATTAGCCTGCTTCTACTCCACCTCTTAAGGTTTTTCCTAGTTCACTGTCCACAGTCCCCATGGTCCCAAACCCCTTCCCCAATCTGTCCCACTCTCCACAATCCCAATGGAACCAAACTCCTTTCCATTCATTCCCAGAATCCACAATCCTAATGATCCCAAACCCTTTCCCATACATTCCCACAGTCCACTATCCCAAGGGTTCCTTCTCATTCACACCCTTTGTACATAATCCAATGTATCAAACTCCTTTGAATTTACTCCTGTTGGACACAGTCCTAATGGTGCAAACCTTGTTCTTTTTATTCCCAGTGTTCACTATCCCAGTGGACCAGGCCACCACCTCATCCATGATACCTGTCCATAAAACCAATTTGCTGATACCGGGAATGACTGTAATCATGCAGTCCTGACTGTGCGGTGCTCCCTCGGCGTTGACCCTGCAGTTTTAGATTTAAATTGTGCCTGTCAGGATATATGTGTGAGTCCTTGCTATTGAAGGGTTAAGAAGTCATTTTCTGTGTGTTCATTTTGAACCCTCAGTTTTTTGAACTCTCCCTACCAACACTTGGTTTCCCTACTCTCCTCTCACTGCTGTTTCGAGGCCTAAAATGTTTCACACACAGTCCCACAGACTGCCTTAATTCCCAGACCTCCATGACCCTACCCCTCCCCCATTTCCATTTCACATACCATCCGTGGGAACATTGCAACAAATTTACTGCTTCCTGCCCTGTTGGAATAAACATTCCCAACTGTCCGGAATGCTGTGCTTATGTTAAGAATGCTTGCATAAAGAATCTTGCCATTTTTTTGGAAGAATATAAACATGCGGATCACAGTGTGTCTTTGGCCCCCTTGTGGATAGTTGTGATTACACATCAAACTGCTGGACACTTCGGGGTTAGATACAGAAAAGCTCCCTCTACTCTGTCCCCATCAAACTTTCCCAGGACAGGGACTACATGAGATTAGATTCAGAGCTGCCTCTACACTGACATCATTCAACTTTCCCAGACAGGTGCAGCATGGGGTTAGGTCACTGTACATATTTTCATTGTACTATGCATGTCGCCATCACTACAGCAGTTCCTGTGCCTATATTCGGGAAGTTGTACTCTGCATTGGCCCACATGAGGAGGTAGTTTCTGTGGTAAGCTGATCAGCCTCTGTTCTCCATTCCCTCAGGTGTTGGCCTGGTTTGAAGAGGGAGAGCAAACTATCACAGCATTTGTGGAACCATTTGTTATTCTGTTGATCCTGGTAGCAAATGCGATCGTGGGTGTTTGGCAGGTCAGTAAGATCGATCTATCAACAACATTTCCAATCTGTGATTGGTTAGAGAGGGAGAAAATCAGCCAGGCTAACTAGCCTGATCACTATCTCATGATGCCTGGGTGAGAGGGAGAGAAGGGTAAAATCAGCCAGGCTTTCTGCCCCTGATCACTGTCCAGTGATCCTTGGGTGAGGCAATGGGGAGGAAATCAGCCAGGGTTCCTGCTCCTGATCACTCCAGTGATCCCTCGGCTCGGGGGTGATTAGGCAAGGTTCCTGTGTGCTGAGGCCTAGATTGTTTGGGAGGGAAAGAATCGAGCTCCTGGCAAGTGAGACCGGGCTCATGGTCTGTTTTTTCCATGTCCTCAGGAGAGGAATGCAGAGAATGCGATCGAGGCGCTGAAGGAATATGAGCCCGAGATGGGGAAGGTTTATCGGCAAGATCGGAAAAGCGTTCAAAGGATCAAAGCCCGCGACATCGTTCCTGGAGATGTGGTGGAGGTTGCAGGTTTGTATTTGACACAACGTTGCTCAGAGATGGCATGGGGAGGGGACGGGATGGTGGCAGGGTTGTAGGTTTGTGTCTGATACAGTGTTCCTCAGAGACAGGGTGAAGGTTGTAGGTTTGTGTCTGATACAGTGTTCCTCAGAGACAGAGTGAAGGTTGTAGGTTTGTGTGACTGATATAGTGTTACTCGGAGACAGGGTGAAGGTTGTAGGTTTGTGTCTGATAGTGTTACTCAGGGTGAAGGTTGTAGGTTTGTGTGTCTGATATAGTG